GTTGAAAGTGGCTTTCTATTTCGAATGTTTTGTTCGCATTTGTTGAATTTAAATTCGAACATAAAATTCGAATATTGGTTCGATTATAGAACGATTGTAAACGTTCCAGAAACGTTGAAAATAGTTCGTTTGACTGGACGTGAACAGGAGACGTTCAGAAATAGAATCTGGACCAGGTCTCTAATTAGTCTGGAAACGGAGGACCTAATTCTTGCATTTTGTGAAAACGGGTAAGATTAGCTATAATGTAATTATCTTAATCTTCACTATCGTTACTTTTTGCCCAGCGAAGCGGGTTTTTGCAGCTAGATTCTAGATTACTTAGAAAAACAGTCTTTTATATATATAAAAAAAAACTATACTATTACATACAAATAAAAACCCAGCGAAGCGGGATCTTGCAGCTAGTATATAATAAAATCTATTAAATAAAAAAATTAAAAAAACTATCGGAGGTCGTTTTTGACATCAGAAAGCAGCTTTAAATAACTTTACCGAAGGAAAATGGGTGCACTACAACTTTAGAACGATTAATTAATTTTGATAAAAAACTCCCATTAAAAAACATTAAAAAGCAATTAAGCCTTAATCGAGCCTTATCAAAGGCTCATTAAAATCGCGATAAAATTTTTTCGCGCGGGCAAAAAATTTTGAAAAAATTTGGGGACCTAAAAAACATTCCAAAAATTAAAAAAAAAATTCTTTGGGGGGCCCAAACGCCCGCGTTTTTCTTGCATCTTAAATTAACGAAACGAGAACAAAAATGTATATTATTTTTTCTAATTAAATTCTTAATAATTCTCTAAGTAAATATTTAAATTTATTGTTGTTTTTACTTTACTTTTAATTAATAAGTTATAATTAATTTTGATTTGAATTGAACTTCTTATATATTTAAAAATATTTATTTCAAGTTTTACTTAAACGTTGTATTAAAAACGGTATAAATAAAAATAGAATCCAAGGAGACCCGATTTCGGTTGTTCATTTTACAAAATAATATGTTAATAGCTGTTAATGA